GTCTACAGTAATACAGGGAGATGAGGCCTGAAGCTCTAAACGGAGCCTGAGCTTTGCACAGAAGCCAGGGATTACAGAGGCTCAACGGTTTGTTTAATAAGCCTACACAAGCGGGACGTCCGTCCACATGAGACGGACAGAAGAAAACATTTGGCAGCTGCAGTGACCGTAAGAACAATCAGGGCTTTGAAGGAAAACTGAATTTTCAGTTCAAGAGAAATAACTTTATTACAAAGCTTTCTGGAGTACTTTACTCCGATTGGTCTGTCGTAGTCTTTTGTTGTCAGATATTTTTGTAAATTGAATAACTGACTATTATGCCAGGCAGTCTCTCATATAACCCTGCAGTGTTTTTCTATATTCGATTTTGAATGCATAAGTAGTGGTGTACTAAGTGAATGTATGTAAAATTTGTGTGTGTCTGTGTGTGTGTGTGTGTGTGTGTGTGTGTGTGTGCTACTATGTTTGAGCTGGTTTTCAGGACACTGCTTAATAGTTGCTAAGGAGTTCTGGGTGGTTGCTAGGGTGTTTTGAATGAGTGATAGTGATGCTTGCCTTAGCTAAAAGCTCTTTAATGGCTCTTTAATGGTTTAGAAGAACGTTCTTCTTATCAAGAGTAAATTACGGGAGGATTTGTGGGTTTCACAGAGTTCAGTTTCAGGCTGTACAAAATAAACAAACAAGTCATAATCAGTCATTATGAGTGACTTTATTATAAATGTAAATACCACAAGCACTGTACTGTTCAAAAGTTTTATTTTTGAAAATATGTTTTTAATGTTTGTGAAATTAGTCTCTTCTGCTCACCAAGGCTGCATTTAGTAACTGCATTTATAAATCAGAAAACTTTGTGAAATATTATTACAATTTAAAATATCTCTTTTCTATTTAAATACATAGAATATAATTTATTTCTGTGATCAAATCTGAATTTTCAGCATCATTACTCCAGTCTTCAGTGTCACATGATCTTCAGAAAGCATTCTAATAGCTAATTTGCTGCTCAAGAAACATTTCTGATTATTATCAATGTTGAAAAAAGTTGAGCTGCTTCATATTTCTGAATCTTAGAACTGCTTTGAACTAATTGTTAGAAAATTAGGTGATATTAAATGCCTATTTTGAGAAAACAAAAGCATTGTTTGACCTTGCATGCATGTAAACCTATTCTAGGAGACTCCCAAAACTATATTAGCCACCTTAGGCATAAAAGGGCACTTTAAAACACCAGTGAACTGAAATAGAAAGCGGAACTCTGTAGCCTTTTTGGTTCTAGAGTGTGAAGCACATGCAGGGGATGTAAAAGTGATGCTGGCTTCTGTGTTTTATCTGTCTTTGCACGAGTGACAGTTCTCCGATGATCAGGATCTCAAGCAGCAGAAGTAAATAAATCTTTGTAAGGGAGTCTTCTCTTGACCAGCTGAACAGAAGGGCCAAGACTAGAGCACTTCTCTGAACCTTCCTCCCTCCACCAACAGAAAAAGTCATACGAAGAGGCAGCGTAAGGCGCAGTGTTTACATCTCGACTGCATGAAAGGCTCTGCTGTGCTGCTACTACACTGGATGCTTTGAGCAGGGTTCACTGAAACCACACTCTGCTGCGTTCACACACAAGCGTATAATGACACTTCTAATCTCTGTATAACACAAGCTCGCTGTTACCCTCCAGTCCTCTGGGGAATTTGGGCTGAGTCAGGAAGCAAACCGCTGATTTACACAGATTCAGTAGCAGAGAGTCTGTAACCGCTGATTTATACGAATGTGACATAAAAATGATTAGTCACATGTGGTGCCGCTGTGATCTGAACAAACTCATCAGAACCACATTGACATACACAGAGAGATTGTGTTATAATCACACAGAAAACAATAGAATGTGTAAAGACTTCCAAAAGTGATACGCACTGATTATTTCACAAAAAAAGAGCGAAATATATAGTTCTGCTCATGGATACATGGTTTAATTGTTCCCAAGTGGCTCCAACGTCAAACTCAAAAATGAGATGTTAATGACCTCGTAAGCGTTTGCAAACTCAGTGATTAGCCTAGTTCTTTCTCAAAAGTCAGCCAACGAATCAGATTAGAGGAAGTGCTGTCGAGTTTTGTGTTCAGACAGCCAGCAAACAGACTGTGGCTATGTCGTTTAAACCTAAAGGTCATGTGACACACACTCAAACAAAAAATATTTAGGCCTAAATTTAAGATTTATGTATTTGAATTGCATGTAAAATGCCCATCAATTTGGGTTACACAGTTTTAACATAAAACAAGTAATAATTCCGTCCTCAAGATCATGGCATAGATTATTTGACCATCTGATTTTATTTAAATAATCATATTTTCCAAAATGCATTTAAACAAATGGTAACACTTTCTATGAAGCCCGTATCATAAGGGTATTCTTAATGCATTATAAACAACCTTATAAAATGTTGTATCATCTGATAAATATTCATAACAACAGTTACAATATATTGTAATACTTACCTATTTGTGGTTATAACTTTTAACAGTATAATGCATTATGTCACCCGATGAAGCCTGCATTTATAATGCATCATAAGGGTATTCTTAATGCATTATAATTATTATAATGCACTGTAACTGTTGTTATGATTATTTATCAGATGATACAACATATTATAAGGTTGTTTATAAGGCATTATGTATGCATTATATAATGCATTAAAGGGGTCATATGACGTTGCTAAAAAAGAACATTATTTTGTGTATTTGGTGTAATGAAATGTGTTTATGCGGTTTAAGGTTCAAAAAACA